CCAGCATTTGTTATTGGTTGATTTCATGATAGCAGCCATTATCTCTGGAGTGAGGTGGAATCTCAGTGTTGTTTTCATTTGCATCTCTTGAATGATCAGTGATGTTGAATATTTTTTCATGTATCTATTTGCCATTTCTTCTTCTTTGTGTGAGAAATGTCTGTTCATTTCAGATGCCCATTTTCAGATTTAAATTTGAGAGCTCTGATCTTTTTAAGTTCTTTATAGATTCAAGATAGTAGGCCTTTGTCTGAGGAAGAGCAGGTGAAGATTTTTTCCCATGGTGGTTTCTCTTGCTGTGCAGAAGCTCTTTAGTAAGAAGAGATCCCACTTGTTGATTGTTTGTGCTAGTTCATGGGCAACTGAGGTTTTGTTTATGAAATCTTTTCCTACACCAGAGTCTTCAAGAGTTCTACCTAACCTCTGCTCTAGCTGGATCTATGTTGAGAATCAAGTGCAAAGACCCCAGCAGAATGATTTAAAATGTTTAGAGTTTGGCCAGAAGGGAAACTCCAAAAAAGCTATGGACTGCAAAGACAGAGAAGAGGAGATCTGGATTGCTGAGAAGGAAGTAGAGAATAGAGAAGTTGGCCTGAGGGCATCATAAGAAGCAGCAGGTCTCTACCAACTTTGCTTTGATATGGAAGATACAGAGCATCATGTTCCAGAATGGCGGAAGCATAGAGAATTTATTCCTTGGAATTGGATTTAGTACTCTGTGATTCAGGCACTTGACCCCTACAGGCAAGAGAGAGGGAAGACTCAGTACTACTGTTCCACCTGTTGGCAGACCTTGGTATCATTCATGTGGCACTGGTTTTAGGTTTATGAAGAATGGAAAAGTAGTGGGGCCAGAAAGGCTTCCACCCAGATTTCAGAAGAAAGCCTGGAAGGCCAGGCACTGGCCCTGAGAGGACAGTGTGTGAAGATGTGAGTGTGAATCCAGAGGTACACTGAAGACCCCAGAAGTTTGGAGAAGCCAGGACCATGGAATGTCTGTGGAAAGCTGCAAGGAAGGAGCAGAACTAGCCCAAGAGAGAAGCCATGGGAGCTACAACCATATGCAGTGCCATGGGCGTGGAGGCATCCAGGTTCTTTGGAGTTCATAGCTTGCCACAGATTGCTGGAGATGCTGGAAATAGAACTGTGGAATTTAATGTTTGCCCTTGCTTTGATCCTGTTCCTTTGTATCCCCTGTTTGAAAAATGTTTGAAATAGAAATGTCTACCTTGTGCCATTGAATATTGGAGGTATTTAAATATTTTTATTTGTACAGGGGCTTGCAGGTAATAATTCACCTTAAATCTCAATCTCTGAGGAGACTTTGGACTTGGACCTTTCAGCAATGCTGAAACCTGTTAGAACTTTGACAACTCTTGGAGATGACTAAATGCTTTTTTGCATAAAGGGATATGCCTGAGTCTTTGGGAGGCCAGGGTCAGAATGTTATGGCTTGTGTTTAGATGTACCCCCAAATTCCTATGCTGGTGGATGAGGTGAGGCTTTCATTTTCAATGGCTAAATCTGGAATGTGTGATGTTGGGATTAAGGGCATGTGATTACTAAACTACTACACGTGAGTAATTGGTTTGGCACCACCCTAATCCTGGTAGTCTGAATAAGATAAAAGGGAAAGAAAGATGTTGTTAAAGTCTCTTTTTGCTTTTGCTATTTTGTGCACCATGTTGTTTCTCTTCTGCAACGACTGTTTGGCACCCCTGCCTTGGTGTCAGCTGATGGACTGAAACCTCTACGAATTGTGAGCTAAATAAATATTTCCCCCTTTAACTTTGGGTGTAAGGCATTTTGTCTTAGCAAGGAGAGAAAAGTAAGACAGAGGGAGATTTTTCAAATACCCTTATTTTGGCTTAAGAGTAGGGCATTTAAAATTTACTTCTAATTGTGCATTTTTTTTGCAGTTTTTATAGCTGAGAGATATTTTTAAAAACTTTCTTTATGTTCAAAATAAAATTGAGAATAATTTGCAGAGATATCTCAAAACCTTCCTCATTCACTATTTCATCATATACAATGCTGTTAGTAACAGTCAAATATGTATCAAATATGACATATTTCTTTTATGAGCTTTGATGTCCTCTGACCTGAGACAAAAGAAAGTCTTAAAAATGTTCACAATTAACAGTCTATGCTAATAACTTATTTGCATGTGATTTCCAAATTATGAGTGTTAATCTCTCTTTGGCATATTAATGGGAAAATAAAAATGTTTTATTTTCAGCAAAGATATTTATTATGACTTAAAATATTACATTGCATATTACACAATGCTCATCTTTTTAAAGAGATAGCTTGCATTTTTATTAGGATTTCACATTTTGTGAAAAAAACCCTACATAAATGAGTAAAAGTTTCCAAATTTAGTATTTTTTTTTTTTTTTTGGTACCAGGGATCAAACTTGGGTCCTTGCACTTGCGCTGCAGGTGGTGAAACCACTGAGCTAAATCCCTGGCCCTCAAGTTTAGTATTTTGATTTTAAGTTATAATTAATAAGCTTTCATTTTATCTTTAAGGATTCTTTTAGATTAACCATTCAAAGTCATATATAAATTAAATTAAACATGTTCTTACAATACTGATGATGTTAATCATTCTGATTGCTGTTTAAGCAACCCTTTTTCAAAGACTCAAATTAAGAATAAGCCTATACTTGAAAAATAAGGACTTCAGATATTGAACTATATGCTTTAGGCCAGAACATAACCAATAATTTTTAGATTTTGATATTTTTTACAACATATATACACCACTAATATAAGCTCAACTATAATAGAGTAAAATGGTCACTAAACAGGCGACCATGTCTTGAATTCTAGTCCCAAAATGTAATTCATCATCTTAAGAGGAATACTTGACCTTTCTAAGCATCAGATTGTGCAAAATTGTAATGATAGGGTTATTTTGATCCTTTTCAACTCTGAAATAAATGCATTTTTGTCTTGATAGTTGCTGAATGTTTTTACTTTGTTGTCATGAAACAATCTTTGATGGTCATAAAAAATGTGCTTATCTAAAGTTATTTGCCTTGGAGATATGTCTGCAGAATCCTCCTGAAAATGACTTCAAGACTGTGTTTTGCTTGCTGTATTGCCAATAAGGATTCAAGGACCTTGAGAAATCCTACTCTACTTTACAAGAGTGGAGGGCTGTAAAAAGTTTTTCTTCACTTGCTTTTGACCATGTACTGAAACTGCTAGTGGTAACAGACAACACAACTCATACCTTTATAAGACCTATATAGATCTTTCAATCTTAAGCAGATTCTCGATAGACTGATAAACATATACAGAGATAGAGTTAGTTCTGTGGAAGACTTTCATGTTGATGTAATGTCATATGCATGGTAATGCTTCCTTATATTTCCAAGGATATTCAAAAAGCCTATAGTAATTAACAGGCTACAAGACATATTTATGGATAGACTTTTATAATTGTACTATTAAATGTCACTTACTGATGTAAAATGCACAGCTCTTGACATATAGATTCAGGAAACTCCTGCAGAACAGCAGGCAGCAAATCATCCCCAGAGTAATGAGGAGCCATGGAAACCAAAAGATTCAGATAGGCTGTTCTGATCTAGTAAAGTTGAAATGTACATTATCTAAAAATCTACTGTAAACTTTAAAACGTCAAGCCACTTTTTTACTGTCTCATCGATGTTCAACTACAACCAAAAGAATGCTCCTAGTTAAACTCAGATGATACAAAAGGCATAACAGCTGTGATCAGGATATCTGAAGAAAATCTTCAAAATTCTCTGAATTGACCTCCAACTTCAGGCAAAATACAGTCCTGAAAATTGTTTAAGTATAAAACTCTAAGCTGTTAGCACCCTTGACTCTGTGGGGATCAGGGAATGGAGGATTGGGCAGACAGTTAATTTGACTTCAAGAATCTGAGATCAAGATTCTACTTAACAGTTAAGAACACAGTAAGGAGGAAGTGCCAATGACTCTGATTTCCTTTTTAGCTATTAACCATCTAATTTAAGTAAGTTGAGTTCTTGTAGGATTTAAAAATAATCAGAGTCAGGTAGGATTTGATTGATCATTTTGTCCATTTTGATGGAAATAAAATAGGATGGGCTAGTAATTATCATCATAATTATAAAATATTCAATCATTTCTATATATGAGATTACTGATATTCAATTATTTCTGAGGCACTAAATGGCAAAAAAATTCAAATTGAAAGAATATATTTACATATAAAGACACATTTTATGAACTGAATATTTTGTCTCCAAATTCAAATACCCCTGATGAGATTCATATGCCCCCACTGAGGTGATATTAGGAGACAAGACCTTTGGGGGGTGACTAGGCCTGGAAATGAGGCCATTGTGAATAGGATTAATATGCTTTTCAAAGAAATAAAAAGGAGCCCCCCATACTTTTGCCTCATGAGGACACACCAAGACCATCACCATTTATAAAACAGGAAGCAGGTTCCCTCCATATACTGAGTTGCCAGTGCCTTGATCTTGGGCTTCCCAGACTTTTGCATGGTGAGAAATAAATATATATTACTTAAACCTTACAGTTGTATTTTAGGTATGGCCCTTTGAATGGACTTAGAAAATAGGCAACTAGCATTCCTGAACTTTTTCTCCAGTCTCCCTAGCATTGCACTCATATGTATTTGGGAACATAGACAAAAGGTAGTTGTGTACGGTCCAGGTCCATGGGCACTCATTTCCTTGAATTTCACCTTCTTTCCCCTGTATAACACCTGTGACCATTAGTGACAAATTTCTGGAAAATTTGATCCGAGGCAGCAACAGCAAGGTCCTTCCTATATGGGTCAATCTACATTTATGGATTGAAAACTAAGGAAAATTACTTCCAAAGTCAGCTCCTTTGGCCATAAACTATACATATTTATGAAGAGCTGCTTCACTATATTAAGTTGGCCTACACTTCAATTATCTGAAAATAGCTTCTGACAAAACTCAGAATAATTTTCAATAGAGTAATCTTTGCTGCAGTTTTATTATTACAAGTTGAGCATCCCAATCCAAAAATCTAAAATCCAAAGTGCTCCAAAATGTGAAACTCTTGTTGTTAACATGATGCCATAGTGAAAAATTCTGCTCTTGACTTCATACGAAGAGTCATTGTCAAAACATAGATCCACCAAAAATATTCTACAAAATTATTTTCAAGCAATGTGTATAAGTTATTTATGAAGCATGCATGAATTTTGTGTTCAGACTTGAGTACTATCTCCAGAATAACTCATTAGATATATTCAAATATTCCAAAGTTCAAAAATATGCCCAAACAAAAACATTCTGGTCACAGAATTTTGGGTAAGAAACATTCTACTTGTATTTAGTTAATAATTACTGATAGGAAAAAGACAAATGAAATCACTCTTTTCTAGAGGTTTTTAGAAAAGAAATGAAGGTATGTTTATGTTTATAGATAATTACAATAATAGGTAAAATAGATAATTAAAATAATGGGCATGTGATAACTGCAATTCTCATTTTTCTGGACAAATATTATATAATGTTTACAACATTTTGAATATGAGGAGGCTGAGAATTTATGAAGCTTGGTCGAGGTGGCACAGCTTCTCAAGAATAGAGTCCTGACTTACCTTGCAATCACCTGACTCTGGAGCCACGTCTGTTACTCAGAGTTTCATGCTATCTTCTAAAACAAAGATAAGAAGATATAAAATAACACAGCATAAAAGTATAAATGAGATAAGTTCTTCTGGGAAGGTAGAAAGAAATGAATCATAGACACTTCATTTCAACTATCCAGGAAAATGGAGATCCTTTTGTTGGCTCTGTTTAATGAGGAATGTTTGTGTCAGAGACTGGAGGGTGAGGAAGGACATTTTAAACAGCGAGATATATACATGTAAAATGCAGAGACAAAGAATGTACAGAATATTTAGAAATATTGAGAAGCCAAATGTACCCAGAAGCTTGATGTGGAGAAAATAACCCAGAGTCCAGGCTAGTAGAATGTGACCCAAATGTCAAATACTCTGACTATTTCTTGCAAAATAAGTGTGTTGTTTTTAAAATTCTGGAATATTGTTAAATCAAATGAAGCATAATTACATCACTTCTATGAGTTGGTTGTGAATCAGGGAAATGAGAGCAATATGTTAAAGATGAGACCTCTAGTGGAATCAATGTACAGAATCCAACACTGAGTGATTTGAAAGCTACTTCAAGGTGGCAAGATGTTCATATCTGTTCCATCTCCTCCAGATACAGGAACTAACTCCTGTGAAAATATTTATCTATCAAACCTTTAGATACTTTTTGAACTATTGGATGTTTGGGGTAGCATAGGATGAGGAGGTGTCAGAAATACTTTGTAAGGAGAGATTATCAGGTTATCAATTCTGTGCCTGGTTAGGGATGATGATTTCAAGGATAAGACAGTTGACATTGAGAAGTCACCAACAATGTTTGTGTGGGGTGCTCACACTCAAAATGTCCCTTTGTTAACCATTATGGTTCAAGAAAACATAAGTATTTATATTAATATATCTAAACTAAAGTACTAACATGTATTTCCTTAACAGTCTATTGTGCAAATGGATATTCCTACATTTGGTAGTTAAGCTGTTCTCTTTAGTCTTAAAATGTTCTTTAAATATCTTTTAAATTACAGTTTCCCCCACTATCTAGCTCATATTTGCTACTATTTTACTTTGAAGGCTTCATATTTTTCATAAACGACTTCAGGCCCATATCACCAAGCATACTTAGCTGCAAATACTGTACAACACATATACTTTCTAGATTGGAAAGTAGGATTGGCTATTTGTAGATGAAAACAAAGTTATTAATATAAATTATTTAGGGGCATTTGTCACTCAAATTGAAGAAATATTATGAGAGAACATTCATATCAGTCAGATTAATTTTATGCATATTTAGTCATTAGGAAAAGACAACTTCAATATCTGTTTTATTTCTAAGCTTAAAATTAGCATACAGCTTTCATGTATTTTATTATAAAGACTTTAATTTGTTGCATCACTAAGGTCATAACACAGATAATGATCTCCGAGGTATTACAAAGGAGTAGATGTTTCTGTTAAACATTTTTGTAACTTCTAATGTGACCTGTTAATTAGTTAGCTCAAAAAAAAATGTACACTAACTGAATAAATTATCCATAAAGTAAAAAAAAAAAGAACACTAAAACAATTACATATAATGGCTCAGTTATTTCTCTTTCCTTTCAAGTTTTAACTATTTATAATTAAATTTCTAATTTTTATTTCAGTGAGCTAGTCTTTGGGATATAAAGTTTTTTTGGTTTTTTTTGGTACCAAAGATCAAACTCGGGACCTTGCGCTTGCGCAGCAGGCACTGGAACCACTGAGTTAAAGATTTTGATTCTTAAATTTAAGGTCAAATAGCAGTCTCTCTGTATCTGCTTTCACTTGCTATCGTTTCAGTTATCATGCAGAACGATGATCCAAAATATTAAATGGAAAATTCTGGAAATAATTCATCTCTTTGAAGTTGCACATGTCCCAAATAGCGTCATGAAATTGTGTGCCATTTTGTGTCATCGTACCTGGGATGTGAATCATTCTCTTGTCCTGTATATCCATGCTGTCTGTGCTACTCACCCATTAGTCACTTGGTAGGTGTGTGGATTACCAAAGTTGCAGTGTTGTAGTTCATGCGTTTAGATAACCCTTTATTTTACTGAGAGTAATGGCCTCAAAGTACAAGACTAGTGATGTTGACAATTCAGATATGCCAAAAAGAAAATTTAAAGTGTTGAAGTGAAAAAGTGAAGGCTCATGACTTAACAAAGAGAGAAAAGTAATCATACACTGAGGTTACAATGGTCGATAGTTCAGGAAGTTGCCTTGCAGGATTTGATGAACACAATCACGTAATTTTTTGGAGTATGTTATAATTGTTTT